AGGCAGGTACCACAAGGAAACGATTTGGTTGTTCCTTTTTAATTCAGATGATAGGCAACTTTGTAGGTGATAATTATTAATTTGTAATGCACTGAACTGGGGGCCTTTCTCTGCTACCAAAAAAAAATCTTTAATTTTAACATCTTTTCATAATAACTGTTGAAAACTCTCATCTAAAACAAAAGGGTCAAGGCTTATTTGCTGAATCAAGGCACTCAGCTGTATCGTGGAACACAGTGCTTTTTAGAATTACCACAAAAGTAGTAGCTTTATTTCCAGAAAGACTGATTATAATGGAAGCTTTATTTAATGCATGGCTAATTTCAAATTTTCAGGTGACTTTCCAACCCAGGTATAGAGGGTACATAAAAGCACATTGTGGAAGTGGAGAAAGAGTAAGAGGAAAGTAAAAGAGAGGAAAGAATTATGAGAAAAGGAAGAAATTAAAAAATGGTTGTGGAATTGTAAACATTTGAACGACTTTATTTTTATAAAAGTAATAAACAATTTATTTTACACATTTTATCAAATTCTTAGAGCGGTTTGTTTGTGGTTTTGAGAATTTCATTAACCAAATGGTCAAGCTACCCAGACATGCAACTGAGCAGCCAACTGCTTGGCCTTCTCCAATTTTCTTCATTTCTTTCTCCAACTGGTTTCTCTGTTCGGCTCACAAGCATTTGTCTGCAACACTCCCCAGACCTCCAACTCCTCCTCCTGTTACAGCTGCAACATGGATATGCCTGCATGATCATTTTTATTCCATTTTAAATTTATGATAAGCTCACCATACTAAGTGAAAAACAGAAAGTAGCCCATAACCAGCTTAATGCTGAAGGTCTTGTCTCATCATGAGCTCAGAAGGCAATCAAGGAAATACTAGGTCACAGGGAGGGGAAGGAAAACACCTCCCCCAGTGACAATGAGGCTCCTGGGATTTGAATAAAACAAAACAATAAAACAAAACAAAAACCAAGTGCAAAAAAAGTAACTATAAATAACTGTGCAAAAATCCTAATATTTAGAATAAATAACTTGGATTGATACCAGAGTTTCTAGTAAATGTAAAAAGATAGCCGGTGAACATGGGCGGGCTGGCAGAGGCCAGCAGTAGATCTAGGGGAGGTCCCCTGCCCTCCATATTTTAGATCAAACCAAGGACAACAGTGCCAAGAAAATTCTTTTCTGGATTGAGCTCCTCCATACCTTAAGGTCTGGATGAGTGGTTCCTCCCCGTCACCTTAAGGTCTGGTGAGAATCCTCCGCCCCATCCCTCTTATCTGAAGGTTCAGATCTGCCACTGTAGGCTCCAGGGCCCATATCAGAGCATATACAGAGACACTACACTAATACAATCTGCAGGACCGTTTTTTTTTTTTTTAGAAACTAGAGCATATGCCTGCCTGCGCTTGTAATAGTGATCACCAAGCTACAAGAAGTATGACCTGAAGTAAATTATGTGTTTTTTACTATTGTTAACGCTTGGAATCAACTTACCCATAAAATTACAAGATGGTTAACTGACCTTAACTGTATTTGTACCCTCTTTGTAAACGTAACAATCATGTTTATATTGGGAAGTTCAGTGATAATAATCCAGATGGCCAAAACTTCCATATTTCGGCCATTCTTTTTCTGAAGTATCCACCTTATTCTGAGCTATTTATACCTTATTAATATTCAATAGACTTCGCGCATAGTATATAAGCATGTGTTAATTATTCACAGTTGTCAGTTTGACTAACTTTAGTTGGAGTCGCCTCACCGTTTCGGGTGCGCGTCCGTCCCCACGAGGTCGAATGCTCGAGTCATGGTCCAAGAGATATTTCTTCATCTTCTTCAAGGCTCAGCTCGTGCCACTTATTTGCTCGACTTTAACTTCGTCGACATCGCAACCTGTTTTTCAAGCTTAGCGGCAGCCGAAGATGATAGACATTCGAACTGCGAAAATTCCACCAAGTCTGATGTACTAAACTCGACAGAACACCCAGGTATTTTCAGTTTTCGTTGTTGGATTTGCATTGGTCTAGGGAACCTTATGTTTGGTCTTTTGCTGGTTGTTTTAATTCTCATTTAGTTTGTTTGGACCAGTGCTGGGAAACCAGTTTTTATTTTCGTGCTTTTACCACGTGCTGGGTAATTTATTCGCTTTTATTCTCGCACGTCTTTCTTTTTTTCTGCAATCTTGCGTTGTGCACTATTTTGTTATTGTAGTTGTGCTTGTTTTCTTGGATATTTGGTAAATCAGTTATTTTATATTTTTGAACACTTGTTCATTTTGGTTGAGGACCGGCTAGTTAGAATCTTAAGCTTTTGTGTCTTTGTGTCGCAGGTGACGTGGCTTTCCTTTTGAAAAGAGGAACCTAGTTTGAGCGACGAGTTTGGGAGCATTGCCCAGTGTGCCACGTGGTGCCGCGATATTTTCTACCGAGGACTCTTTGTCTATCAGATGGTGGTTACAAGAGAGAAGAGACGAGATAACGTTTTGGTCGAGGGCTAAAAGAGTGGCGTTGCGGTGCCACGCGCGGTAGCATTAAAAAAAAAAAAAAAAAAAACATCGGTCGCGGTCCAAGAGCGGTGTCGCTCTGTGCTACGGGGTGCCCCCTTCCCTTTCTTTACTTGCGCCATTTCCTCATTCTTTGCTCCTAAACCGACAGAAACGCTTGCTACGCGGGCTATGGCGGACCGAGAGAGAGGAGAGAGATCGGTCGCTGACCGAGAGAGCAGTATCGCTCTGTGCCACGGGATGGCGTTAAAAAAGAAAGGAGAGAGATCGGTCGCGGACCGAGAGAGCAGTATCGCTCTGTGCCACGGGATGGCGTTAAAAAGAAAGGAGAGAGATCGGTCGAGGACCGAGAGAGCAGTATCGCTCTGTGCCACGGGATGGCGTTAAAAAGAAAGGATCGGTCGAGGACCGAGAGAGCAGTGTCGCTCTGTGCCACGGGATGGCGTTAAAAAAGAAAGGATCGGTCGAGGACCGAGAGAGCGGTGTCGCTCTGTGTCACAAGGTGGCGTTAAAAAAAAAAGGAGAGAGAGAGAGAGAGATCGGTCGCGGACCGAGAGAGTAGTATCGCTCAGTGCCACGGGGTGGCGTTAAAAAAAAAACAACGGAAAAAAAAAAAAAAATGATCGGTCGTGGACCGAGAGAGAGGTGTATCGCTATCCCTCGATTCGGTATAAATAATGCATTATAAGGTAGAAAAGAACGCAACTCGAAAGGGGTTTGGGAGGGATCTGAGTCTAGAAGTCTTTGCTGTTTCCATTAATAAAACGAGGACAGTTCTTGGGACGGACGCGCACAGCTCGGTGCTCCATTCCGTTGGACAGCGGAAAGTCATGGCTGAACTGTGCTTTAAAGCGGGCCATATTTAGCATACTTGCCCGGAGGAACGGGGGAGGAGGCCTGGTTACCGTGATTGCCATATATACTTGATCGTTTCGTTGGGTTTATCGACAAATTTAAGCATATAGGCACTATTTTGAAATACCTCTTTTTTCTGGTTTCTCTGTGGTCTCGAGGTTGGAGAAGTGACCCCACAAGCGTTTTGCCTATAGGCATGCCCTTGAGCCCGATTACTCGGGCTATGGTGGTCATTTTCTCCGAACTCGGGTTTGCAGTCTCTTCACGATTTGTCATCTTTTGATCGTTTTCTTCTCGGTAACTCTCGGTGAAGACTCGCCGATATTTGTGCCTTTAACGTTACTGAGAGTAAGCAGATACAGACATGTTTAATATCTCTGGATGTAAACCCGAGTTCGGGGAAAATGGCCACTGAGTGAAAGGACAATATCTTTAGGGCTTATATCGGCCCATATTATCGGGCCCGTTTACTTATACCTTGGCATAAGGAATAGGGGCGTAGAAGCACTGAGTGGGGTCTTCGATAGTCACCTTTTAAGTAACAGTATTCACAGCCTGTCACTGGTGCATGACTGAACGTTTCATTGAGTTGGGAGCAATCCGGGCGTATTTGGGATGTATGCGGTAAAAGTTTTTTGCCCTTTTGTCTTCTTGGGGACGCTAGAGCCAAAGAGGACAAGTTTTCAGGTTTATGTGTTGGCACGTTTCACCAGGTTTTTATATTTGTGAATTATGGTAACACTTACTACCGATTGTGGAAGTTTTTTCGATTAGCTGTATTTTGATTCTTACAAAAGTAACAAGGGTGATTGATTTGGATGTCACTTTGTATCCGTACCCTCACTCTTCGGTGGTAACTCAGTGTTGAGTGGTAGGCTTGGTGTCTGGTTGTGATAAGTTTTCGACAAGAAGCCAGATGCATACTAGAAATACTAGGAATAAAGATAAACTTCATGTACCATCTTTTAGATCAGCAACAGGTCAGCGATCTTTCTCCTATAGGGCTGTTCAACGCTGGAATGACCTTCCAGAAAGTTTAGCAAACATAGAGTCATTTAATGTTTTTAAGAATGCGATTAAAGGACGTGCACTTGACGAGTTTTTAAGCCATTGACACTCAATAGGTGTAATTATGCATATTTTTTAAATAGTGTGGTAATGTTTTTTCATTTTCAAATGTTTATTTTAGATTTCTATTGTTCTTATCAGATTTTATTGTAATTGGTATGTGAAAACCCATTTTAATTGGATGTATCAATAAAGTTGATTGATTGATTGATTGATCGCTCCCGTTTCGTTCAGAATAACTTCTTCATTAATGTTCACAAAACTACTGGACTGGAAGTTCCTACAAGCATTGTTCTTTCTCTTTAATGATTGCTAACTTCGGGGTTGTTTTCCCTTCGACAAGTTTTGTCGCTCTTAAACTGGGTGGAGTGTTCTCGAATACAGTTCATTATTCTGTGAGGGCAGCTTTGTACATGGTTTAAAAGGTCTCGTTAATCTACGCTCTTTTGTGAGTAGTTTCGCACGAATGTTTTCTCTGCTTTCCAGACCAAATATTTAGAAATGGTGTGGGATGTGTCAAGGCTCGGGTATTGAATTCCTAGATTAGGAGTGGTGGTGACATTAGCGTATGCTCTGGACAGCCACGCAGTTCGGCTCTTCGATCTCTGGGGCAAGGTGACTCGTTAGGAGCCTGTGAAAACATATTTGCCCGTTACGCAGCTGTCTCCTTTTAGTGGTTGCGTCGTCCTTCGGTTCCAAACCTTGTCTGGTGAAATTTTCCTGCTAAGTTGAGCACATATAGACGAGTGCATACACGTATAATTTTAGATGTTGGATTCTTCATCTACCTCTCTGTCTGCTTTGGCAACCGCATTACACCATCCATGCTTTTGGCCTTCTCCTTTATTGGGCTCAGTTTGTTTCATTTTAGCGTCGAAGAGAGAGCGAGTCCGTTACAACACCTGCGGGGGCGTTTGTGGAGTGTGTTATTCGAAGATTATAGGTGGCATGTGTTATCAGCTGATGCCTGGTTTACCCTGGGATTGCATGACCTCTACGCGTTTCGCAATGAATGAACCACGGGATGGACATATCCCTTCTTTACCTTTGTTAAACAATCAAAATTAAAGCGATGAAAATGTTTGTAGTGCGCATGTCTCGATGATCTTGATATTTCCTGCTGCCTGGGGTGTGGCCTTGGACGTTAGAATGGATCCTGATGTATTTTCAAGAGACCCAAGGTTTGTTACCCGGTCGGTTCAACATTTTATCAAATGGTAAACAAAACTCAGGTTCGGAACATCCCGTTCAGCAATCGTGTTTTCCTTGCACATATGTGTCCAATTTACCGAAAAACGGTTGCGGGGTCCTGCAATGGTAACCAGAGGTGGGTTGAAGTCATGAACCACGAGTTTCGGTCGGAACATCCCCACCAGGGAAACAGATCTGCTTTTCGAAGATCTGTTGCCCCCGAAGATTTTCACTTAAAGAAAACGTCAGGTGTTCCTAGATCTGTAAGTCGGCTATACACGGGTCGTGAGCGGTATGAGACAGCTTTTACGCTCGCTTTTTATTTCTAGCCTTTAATATTTGGTCTTTTTAAGTGGCGTAATAGTACACTAGAGTCAGCATTTTCAATCGTTTTGACTGTGCTTCAGAAAGAGTCATAATCTTTAATATGCATTGTGTGGACGTTTTGTTCTGTTCAGTTGACAACCCCCTTTTCACGAAAGACTGCAAATTTTGCTGAAATCGCATCGTTTTATAGGAAGGGAGCCATATCCTCTTCCCTCGCCAAGCGATTTAAGAGCCCAATCCGGCTTACTCATTGCGGCTCACTCGCAATGCTAGGACAAAGTTAACAAGGATCACATGGGTTGGTGGTACCTAACCATGCTGAGGCCGCCGACGCGTTAAAATAATTGCGTAAATACTAATGCGTACAATACCGTGTAACAGGTGTAAAAGGGGGTTGACTGGCTTGCATGACTCCCCGTGCCCGGCGCGTGTTTTAGCCTTTTCATAGTTTGGCTCCTATGCTGGTATGTCTTTGAGCAACTGTTCTCCTTTGTACGATATGAGAGGCGGACTCTTGTAAATTTCGCTCAGTAATGGTTGTTGTTGTATTCAATGCTAGTTTCTCACGCGACTTTGCTTTAGGCTAGTCACTTAGTGTGACGGTATTGTGTGACTCACAAAAGACAAGATTCGTAGATTTCTCTTTTATCTCGAAGGGCAAGTTTTCTATCTCAAAATTTATTTATGAGAGGGTCGTACGTGTGAGATCCCGTGTAACCTCTCTCTAGCAGATGTGATTTGCACGACTCGAACGAGTCGTACCACTTGAAAGGGTCCCCTCACGACAACTTTGCCAACCAAGTCTTTGTGTCGCTAATGAGATGCGTGTTCTCCAATTGTACGTGCAAGTGAGATGCAGTTTCACTATATGTCATACCTCAAGTTATCACACGGAACTATCACCCATTCACGACTAGTACCAATCGCATGAATTGAAAGGCTGATCTAACCACTTTTACCCTTCGTACAAGTTGAAGCACACAGAAACACACACACCACGACTTTCACAATTTGAACAGGTGGCGAGTATTGGACAACCCTCATTGACTTGTGGCAATTTGTTAAGATTTTGTTGTATAGGTTTGGGGATTAGTTAGGGTTGGGAGAGTTCAATTTAGTTAAGGATTGGGAAGGGTAAGAGCTCATCATGGGGTTTATGTTAGGATTATGTAGGGGGATTCTACAGCGATAGGCGCAGTCTGGGGTGACTTCCCATAACTAAATGCTAATAAGTATGCAAGAAGGATATTGAACTATTTATACCTTATTAATATTCAATAGACTTCGCGCATAGTATATAAGCATGTGTTAATTATTCACAGTTGTCAGTTTGACTAACTTTAGTTGGAGTCGCCCCCACCCACCCGCCCCTTCTGCTTACTTTATTAGCACCTACGTGTCTTCCCCATCGAGCTTGCTCGTCTGGGGTGACTTCCCATAACTAAATGCTAATAAGTATGCAAGAAGGATATTGAACTATCCAAACAGGTACTTTGCTATGAATAAGCTTTACAAGACAGTCGCGGTACTGTAATTAAACAGACATTGTTTGC